AATATCAACACTTTCATCCCTAAAGTATTCTCAAATTTTCGACGCAGTTGACCATGTGTATATTTTCCTATATTGCTCCTGGTTGCTGTGCGTAGCCTTTGTGTCTGTGCTCTCGACGTGAACTATACAGGTGACCAACCGCGTATGACTTGCGAGTCGCCTCCAGTTCATTTCCCTGCATTTTGTCGCTATGTCAGCAACTCCTACCGTAGCTATCCAACTAGGTCAGAGCGCCGTCCTGTTGTCTGGTGCCATCTTTTTGGGTACCTTTGTTGCCGCGGTCACTATCTACAGTCCTCTGAGGGGCAGGTTCCTGTCACTTTACCAGCCTCGTCAGTGTATAGAGAAGTTACGATGTCCGCTGTCCTCGAGAGTCTATGGTGCTTTCATGGGTTGGATCCCTGGTATTATCAAGATCACTGATGACGAGCTCCTCGAAAACGCTGGCCTCGACGCGATAGCGTTTATCCGACTATTGCGACTTGGTACCAGAGTGGCCGTTGTAGGCTGTTTGAATGCTATCTACTTGATACCAGTGTATAAATACCAGGGTTCCGGACCGGGCAATCAAGATGAGCTCGCTAGGTGGAGCGTGGGCCACCTGGCGACCCGTAGTCCGTCAATGGTGTCTACTCTGATTGCTTCCTACATTACTTTTTCAATAACATTGTTTTTGATATATACTGAGTTCTCGTGGTACACAGCCAAACGGCATGCTTCTATGTGCCGCGAGAGTGTCGCTAACTACAGTGTCTTCGTGAGACACATACCTCCATCGCTCCGCTCGAATCATCGACTAGGTGAATTTTTTGAAGAGCTCATTCCTGGTGGAGTGGCTGACGTTGCAGTTGCTCTTGACTTGGGAGTTCTCAGCAAAAAAGTGAAGAAACGAAACAAGCTCGTTCTGAAGTTGGAACATAATTACAACATGTGGCATCACAGAGGTGTCCGTCCTCAAAAGCGCTCGGGCTTTTTCTCTAAAGAGAAAATTGATGTTATTGAAGTACTTGAAGTACAACTGGCTGCATTGAACGATTTCATCGAGAAAGATATCAGTGATGCTGAGTGTTTCCAGGAAATGGTCGATGGGCAAAGCTCAAGGCGTAAAGCTCTGGACATCTCATCGATGGCGAACATGGTGCCGTTGGTCCCTCTGAAGAAGCTCGTGCCATCGAAAAGCTTCCGAGTCCTTTCTGATGGCTTCGTCACATTCAAGTCACTACAGTTCACTGCAATGGCCTTGCAAATGCAGCTCTATGACGAACCTCATGCTCTATGCATTGAAGCAGCGCCGCTACCTGATGGTGTTTACTGGAGCAATGTTGGTATGCCGCACTTCCATCAGCAATTAGGTATTGTGATGTCTCTGGCGGCCACCACGGCGTTGTGCATTTTCTGGACTATTCCTGTCACTTTCGTTGTGTCTATATCGAAAGTGTCCTTCTTGAAGGAAGAATTACATTTCCTCCAAAGCGCTCTAGAAGCCTGGCCTCCTCTCGGAATCGTACTCCAACTCTTATCCCCTATTGCCCTCGCGCTGTTGAACGAGCTTCTGCCGTTCATCTTGGGGTTTTTCTCTAAGTGGGAAGGTCATGTGTCGGTGACAGCCTTGGAAGTCTCCCTTTTTGGGAAGCTGGCGCTGCTATACATCATCCAAGCATTTTTCGTCAGTGCCATCGCAGGGAGTTTGCTCTCCGGGCTACGAGATCTGGTGGAAAACCCTCTAGGAACATTGCAGAATGCATTGTCCGTTTACCTGCCTCAACAGTCCTACTACTTCATGTCGTTTGTCTTCGTCCAGATCGGTCTTGGCTTGGGCATTGAACTCACACGCCTGGTACCAGCGCTTCTAGCTCTGTTCAGGAGATGCTTGGGACCTAACCTGTCGGAGAAGGAGCGCAGCAGACCGTGGTTGTTTCTGAATCCTCTGAGCTCACCTGTCGAGCTGAACCATCCCAGGGTGCTTTCTACCATTATGTTGTTTTTCATGATATTATTCGTGTATTCTGTGATGTCACCAATATCGAGCTTCGTGATGGCTATCGCTTTCTCGTTCTTTTCCCTGGTATATAAGAACCAGTTTGCGGTGGTTTACGCCCCAAGTTGTGACAGTAAGGGTGAATTGTGGACTCGAGCGATCCGATTCATCTTGGCTTGTCTGATTTCTGCAGAGTTCACTGTTATGGGCGTTTTGGCAATCAAAGAAGCTGCAGTAGTAGCACCATTGATGTTGCCTTTGTTCATTGGTACCATCCTATTCTGGTGTTATCTCGAGGAGCGCCATTTCAAAGTGGCATCATCTTTACCGGCCAAAGTCTTCGTCCCCATTGATCGTGAGCGAGGTGAAGGGTTCGTGGGTGTTTCGTATACTGGGTGTTACGAACCCGTTGCTATGCGACAGAGGAACTTACAACCTGATGTACCTCAGGAAGTAAGAACTGCTGCTGACTGCCTTGAAGATATGTCTACACCTCTGGGGGAAGGCTCCGCTTGAATAGATTGAATAAAGACGCGGAAAGCAGCCGGGATAAAACAGTGTCGTTAGTTGTTCCCATTTTGTTCTTTGTCAACCCTGTGGGTACTGTTTGTGGTTTCCGCTCGAAAAACGAGATGGATACCCCCGCTTGTCGGGTGGTAGTCAAGGAGTGCACTAT